CTTTCAATTCTTTGTCATGTCTTGTCCTCAAATGTTGAATCAAATTGCTGGTGTTAAAACATCCAACTTTCGCTCCTCCCCTCGACAGTTTAGCAGAGCACAGCAGACAGTCTGCTGGTTTGGTGTCCTCGTTTGGTGGCCGATCTTAATATCTCCAAACTGCCGACGTTYCTTCTTCTTCTTCTCATCGTTCTTCTTCTGTTATTCGGGGGTGCGGTCGGAAATAACTTGTCAGTGCGTTAGCGCCCCCGCCTGGTATGGATTGATGTTTATCCTTTGTGCTGCAGCGCAGCACAGGAGGAACAAAAAAGGGGACAAAAGTTAAGAGTATCGGCCGGCTTTTACGAGTACGAGTACTTGATGCTGGTATCGGATCACCTCTAATTAATACCCAAATATAAAAAATTACCTGACTGCAGTCGTGTATTAAGAGAATAGTTAAAAACACAATTAATTGAAAGAACTATAGATTTTAACCAATTTATAGAGTAGTCAGAAACTTTTCAAAAAGAGTTTATTAATTCAATAACCTTAGAGAGTTTTCTAAACATTGAAGAAAAGGTAAGACATTATCAGCATAAACCAATTAATGAAATACTTTCCAAAACCAAATTTATACAAGGTAGCTGTCATGATTTTAGCATATTCTCTGCCAAGTCAAGCCACAGTCAAGCTCTCACTCATTGTTTCACCCCTCCCGTCACAGAAACATCTAATCAGCATCATGTCACTCACCTGTTCACTGTAGTATTTAAGCTCCACTCTTCCTCTTCACCAGTGCCAGATTTTTGAACGGTTTTTCCAAGTAATTATCCAGCATCCATGTCACGTCTTGCCTTCCTCGTTACGACCTTGTTTTTGCTCTCTGGATTCACGCCTCTTGCCTCATCCCTTAACGGTACTGTATCGGATTCTGATCTCCTGGTTTTGACCCACGCCTGTGTACATCGACCACGAGTAAAGTCCAGCTCTCAGTACCTGTCTCGGATCTCTGACCACATGTGTTTGACCCAAGCCTGCCTCACGGAAAAACCCCGAGTTCGTAAACTCGTTCAAGCCCCGCAACCCGGAAGTGTTTCCACCGGACTTCATCCAAGACTCTCAAAGTCTTTCAAGAGTACTGTCGGGACTTCCTGTACTCTAAAAAAGTTAGTGGCTAAATCTTCTTCTAAATCTGTTCTTGTGAACATTCTAGCCACTAACCTAATTCTCTCCTGTGTAGAACTCCTGATTCCAGTGACGTTTGTTTCCCGATCCAGCTGTTTATATTTTAATAAAAACATTAAAACTATTCTGGTGTCTGGCAAGTAAGTGAAACTCGTACACTCAGTCATTACAGTAGCAAATAAGAATTTCAATTTACTCTAATATCAAATGCTTTTTCTGCATCGAGACAGAATAGCAGTTTCAATATTTTTTACTGTAAGAATAATCTATTAAATAATCTGCGTGAATTTGTAGATGAGTGCCTTCCTTTTATAAAACCAGTTTGGTCAGGATGGATAATGAAAGGAGTTACCTTCTCTAATCTTTTGGAGAGGGCCTTACAAATTATTTTAAGATCATAAGGGAAATAGGACGATAACTGGTAGGGAATACAGGATCTTTGCCTGGTCTTAATAGGAGACTAATGGTGGCCGAATTCATATGTACTGGAAGTCTGCCATGCTCTGACATGGTTGCCCTTTTGGATATTGTCCTGTGGGAGAGGACTTGGAGTGGGCATATCATAACGTGGTTGCCTTTCTGTTTATTGTTCTCGTCAGAATAAACGGGGAAACAGCTTCTCCAAAGACGACCAGTGTCACAGCAAATTATTTCATCATAACCAGCACAACGCAGAACTGGTTACACTTGGCAGGCATAGTGTTTAAACCTTTTTTAATTACACATATTTTTACAGTCACGGGTTTCTAATTCAACACATGCATGCAGCAACCAATTATGTTCCATCCTTCTAGGAGGCATCCTTACCGGATGCACAAACCACCTCATCTCCTCTCGATGTGGAGGTGCAGCGGCTCTACTCCTAGTTTTTCTGGGATAACTGAACTTCTCACTGGGAGGATTCCAGTTTCCTGTCTTTCCTGCCACTGACTATTAAAGAGCAACAGGTGTTGTCTGTCTCCACCAGCTTTGGCCTCCACATCCTTGATGAGCTGTGATGGTCTTATAAGACTGAAGCCAGACCACATACTGACGCCTGAGCGTTGGTTCACCCACGGTGAAGTTACTTTGAGCGACTAAAGTATTTTCCTCAAGTTAATTTCTATTTGTGCATGTTTTTTCTGTCACTTGCTGAATACTCATCTCGAGAATCCTTGAGTACCAACTTGGGAGTTGGTACCCTCTTGCCTCCACCACCCCAGCTTGGAATCTCTGTCACATCTCCTCTACCTGGAAAGCTGAACTTTAGACATACTGGCTTCATCCTAATCCTTCTCACTGTCCACCCTCCAATCAATGAATGAATTAAAGTAAACTAACTCTGGAACTCAGCCCTCTTCATTCAGAAGAAACACCTTCCACGCCTGAAGAGAAATTAGCACAATTTTCCCAGCCCCATTTCACCTGTTTAAACAATAAATCTTCTTACATTTTTCACTTGGTCTCTGTGAAACCATTCAGATTTCAGGACATCAAACTATGTTATAAAACTAGTAACTTTGCTAAGATGACACTCTACCCTATCTCTACCTTGCAGAGAAAACCTAATTTTATCATTTGTATCCGTGATCTTGTTCTTTCAGTCACTACCCAAAGTTCATGGCCACAGGTGAGGGTACAAACGTGCCGAGAGAGTTTCACCTTACAGCTCAGCTCCCTCTTCACCTCATCAGACTGGTACAGAGTCCACAATACTGCAGAAACTGCACTAATCTGTCTATCAATCTCACGCAAGTCATTATCACACATTTTGGACAAGAACATGGATAGCTGATAACTGTCAATTACCACAGATTTCAACAATTAAACATTTAAAATTAATTTTAAATCAAATCAACTATTTTTGAACTTTGGAAATGACTCACCATGCTCCTTGTCATACAGTATCATTGTAATCATGTAGTACACCTCCCCATCACTGTACTGAACCAACAGATGCTATGATCTTTGTTTGCTGACTAAATGTCATGAAATTAGCTGTTAATGGCTCAATTTCTTTTACAATATTTGCTGCATAAGCAGGACAACAGGGTGGGATACAAATGTTTCAATTTCCCTCATTAATTACACAATTATGCTAAGCTGTATGTCTTACTATGAACCAGATGTTGTGTAGTTAACCATGCGTGAAGATAGAGTTCAGGTTCATTGTCTCTCACCTTTAGAACTGAAATAGAAACCAGGCTGGGGTGGAGATAGAGGATGGTACTCCAGAGGTTTCTACTGACGCTGGAACCAAACCAAACTGAGCTAAGTCAAACGTGGCCCAAAGAAAACTAAAACTAGATACCGCATAGCGGTTGACGGATAGCCCCTCATCAGAGCTAAACAACCAAAGAAAATCTGAAGCTTCTATGTTTAATAGTTTTTGAGCTATAACCATTTTTGTATGTCCAGATACCACTTTTTCAGAAAGTGTGAGCTGGGGGCTATTTATTTGTAAATAAGTTAATAAATGGTTAGAAAACAATATGACAAGACTTTTAGACATTTGTTTTATTCTGGTTGTCTTCATTCAGAGGGACTATTTTTAGTTTGTGTTATTTTAATTTTGTTTAAGCAATTTTAACCATTAGTTTTGCAAAAGCATTTTTCATATTTAAATGGTTTTACTAATCCTAAATAGGTAGGGGGAATTAAAATGAGCACAGTGCAAAGATAAAACTGAGGAGAGCTGACCTCACCCATTTCTCAGTCTTTGTTTTGCTGCCTTTTCGTTTATTCAACATAGTTTACATTACATGCATGAATCAAATTCATTTTTGGGTTGTAGTTTTATTTATTTTTTGAACAGCTGCTGCGCATTGTGACTGACAGTCAGCTGAGCTGCGTCTCTCACCTATTCAAATCTGTGTGAGGGTGTGTGTGTTTGTGTGTGTGTGTGGACGGGTTTTTCCTACAACGTGGGGAAAAATTTCCCGAAACATCCTCGTTGGGACTGAAGTGCATCATGGTTTAGGTTAGTTTTAGGGTAAATTGTCAGGGTTAGGCTATAAAGTAAAAAAAAAAAAAAATGAATGGAAGTCAATGCAAGGTCCCCATGGGGTCAAAAAACAAATGTGTTTGAGTGTGTGTGTTGTGTGTTTTGTGTGTGCGCGCGTGCGTATGTGTGCGGTCAGCTGAGCTGCGGAGATGAGTTTAGCTACACTCCGAAAACATTTGGGTAAAATAGTATTTAAACGAAATATTTGAAAAGCAAGTATACATTTGACTTCTACAGGGTTACATTCTTGCCTAAAAACTTTCTAAAAAATTATTTTGTGTCAAGGAAAAAGAAATATGAAAGTTCTAATTTCAGCTATTTCCTGGTGAACATTAAAGGCAGCTTCCATCTGCAATGCATCCATGGGATTGGGTGGATGAAAAAAGATGTTTTAAGTGATTTTATGTACAGACACCCCTTTTTCAGATAAATTGGGGGTCCGGGGGTGGGGGCACTTATTGGTGGGCCTGATGGATAGCTCTTCATCGGAGCTAAACAACAAAAGAAATCTGAAGCTCCTATGTTGAACAGTTTCTGAGTTATAAGCATTTTTGCATTTCCAGACACCCCCCTTTGAAAGGAGCCCCCTCCTCAAATCTGGGGTGTATCGTAAAACTGTTGGCTGGCGCAGTGTAGGTCTGACTCATCTACAGTCCTGCCAAATTTCATGTTGATTGGTGKAGCTGTTTTTGTGCTACGGTTGACCAAATATCACTGGAAAAAAAACAGTAAGAAAACAATATGACTCCCGCTTATGCTTCGCGTGCGGGGGTCATTATAAACCAAATGAGAAAAACTTGCCTCCCTAAATAAAATAAACAAGAGAAAAATAGTTGAAAAACAAACGGCAGCTCATGCCTACAAACTCTTTAGTTTAAACTATTTGTTTAACATGGTGTCTAACAGAAAAACTAAACAGTGTGGCTGGTTGGGATGAGCAGAAGATGGATGACAGGAAGTCCATGTCAGCATCTTTTTTCGTCATCACCTCCGGCAGGCCACCAATCAGTCATCTCCAGTCTTCAAAGTCCAATTAGCAACAGGCACCTGCACATTCAAGCGTTACATAACCAGCCCTACGACATCAGTTGTAACGGTAGCAAACAAGATTTGAAACATCCATGTTTTCATAGAAAATGTTTTGTAATATCACCAAGGAGGTTTTAAACAGCATCAGAAATTGGTCAAAAATGTAAAAATGGTGTAGTTGATTGTACTAGAACTACCCACTCGACATTACATATTCAAGACAATAAAGTTTTTCTCAGATTAAATGAGTGTTTCCAATAGTCGAGGCTAAAACTCCACTGTGTGTCATGAAATAACAAGTTACATCCCCAAATAATTTTCACAAATCATTTTTTTGTAAAAAATAATAAAAATTGTGGGTAATAGAAAACAAAGATGTAAGATTTTTTAGAATGCCTAATACTTTTAACAAAAACTTGATTTGAATGCATTTAAATACTGAAATTATCTGCTGCATTTCCACCTTCAGTTTTTACACTGGCAAAACCTTTGGTGAGGTGGAAAACAAACATTACAGAAGGAAAATACACAGGAATTCGGAAACTATGACACAGCAACTTATTTTGTGAAGGTTCACAATTACTTTGTGCCCTACAAACCAAGACAACAAAATAATTTTATCAGATTTTAGGGCAAAATTGCAGAATTATCCTAACAAACTGAAAAACAGATAAAACTGTTTGGAAACAATCTGACATTGTCTACTTTGGAAAAAGAACAACCTGGTATTACACAATTCCCCAAAACATAAAAAAACAAAACATACAATATAATCAGATATTTGAGTTTGTGCTGTCATTTTAATTTAGGAAAATACACTGTTCTACCTGGATGAACAGAATAAAAAGAAGCATATGTGCAGGAAGCCTTTGATGACCATATTGAATATCTTTCAGCACACGAACAACGGTTATATTCAGTTTATTTATATACTGTAGTTGTGTTTACTTCTGTGTGTTAATGTTTGCAGCTTTATTCTGACCTGTTTCAGCTCTTCTTTGTTGCCGGACGCCTCCAGCTCCACAGCAACTGAAGCAAAGGGGCGACTTGCCATCTGCTGCCATTCTCTCATCAGCTCTTACAGAGATGCAGAGCAAAAGAAGAAGTTTTATTTACTGTTTATCAATAAGTGGGAGCTCTGACATTTCTGTACTCACTGGCTTTTTTATGGCTTTTAACTCAGTTTGAAAGTTCATTTCTCAATTTTTATTTTTGTTTTCAGAAAATTTTTTTGTTTTAAAGTTTGGAGCTTTTTTTGGTATGTGCCTTTTTGTTCCTTCTTTTCTATTTTTAATGTGTAAGAAATTGGTCAGCTCTAGCCATTTTGAATTGTCTTTATAAATTTGATCCACTTAAAAAACTAAACAGCTTCAGTTTGTAAATTTTACTCAGCAACTAAGCATTAGCTTCCTGAATTGGTAACAAGTTGAGATTAGAAAAAAAAAAACAACAAAAAGTACAAAAGGTTGAAAGGAAGCAGGATGTATATAGAAAAGTAGAGAGCAAACAAATTAAAGTGATAGAAACAGAACAATGTAAAGAGGAGTGGGAAATAGGAGATGGTGGAGAGGGAGTAAAAGCTGATGATAAAAAAGGCAGGGAAACGTCATTAATGAGGAAATTTTTAGGAAAACAAAAGCACAATGTGAGGTCTTTATCAGCATGAGTCCAAACTCTGAAAACACAAACACATGCCAAGGGCATTAAAATGAACAAAAACATGAAAGGAATCCCACAAAAAAGTTAAAAGACTTACAACAGAGATGAGACATTTCTAGCCCAATTCCAGTGAGGACAACATTCTCTCAGAGACCCATTTCCCAGTATGTTCCGCTTCACAAAAAATGCTAATGGGGTTTTTGTGTCTACAATTAGCTCAGCTGTAGCCACCTGTTTCACAAACAAAACCAAAAACACAGTTTGCACAATTATTCATAATGCTACAATCATCACTGTGCTGCTGGTAGTTTTAGGCAGTAAATCTGCATCCTCCACTACACCCACATTTCTGTCTCACTAAACCAAAAAAACAGAAAGCTACGTTTAAAGTGTGACATATTTTTTCAAGATCAATCACAATAAATCAAATTAAAATAAAGATTAAGCATTCCTTGAAGGAATGAATGTCACTGCCTTTTATGCCAGAGTTTAAATCAATATCATCTTATAATAAGAAATACAGCCGTATCAATTTTAGTCAAATCATTTAAAGAGTCAGCATGTGCAATCTTGTGCAATTTTTTGATATCTCAAGCTGTAGTGGTGCTTGGCCAATTTATTGAGGATGACTCTCAACACAACAAATAGCGCAATTCCTGTCAAAACCTACTGAGTTATAGGTATTTCAGTATTTTAAGGTGAGTTGGCTGTGTTAGCCATCCTGAATTAGGTCAATTCCAAATCTTAATCAGCTTTAAAATGTACATTTATTGATTAAATTCCTTTTTTTGTCACTTCAGTAGAAAACAAGACCAAATATTATTAGTTAATTTAGTTTATTTATTTCTTCATCATCAATAACTTTTTAAGTGAGAAGATAAGAAAGAAAATAAGAAAAGGGAAAAGAACTGAAACTACAAATGTATGAAATGTACTCAATAAGACACAAGACCACCCCCCAACATCCACACCTGCACACTTGTGATGGCCACAGGAAGCCCCGTGAAACCTTGAAGCTTTCTTTCCAAGTGGTTAAAAAAAAAAGGTTCGTTTCTTGAAGCTTCATGTACTCTTAAATCCCTCTGCTGGTCAAAACCTTTGTCATTTCATCTACTTGGCTGTCTTCAATAAAANACACATAATGACATACTAATATTTTCACCCACATCTACATACATGCCTGTATGTACAGTATTATATGTACAAATGCATCCCCACACCCCCTTGTGTGTTGTGAGCATGCATACCTATCCAAGGTTTCTCCTATAGAATATTTAATAGTGACGTGAGGAGCCCAAGACCCAGCCCCCAAGACTCGAGGGGAGCCAGAGCCCGAGACCCCAAGAGCGACCCCGAGCACAGAGCCCCCAGAGCAACCCACACAGGACAAACCACCCCCCAGATTGGACCACAGGCGGGAACCAGAAGAGCTCCACGGGCAGCCACATCCAGAAACCCCCAGGGGCAGCAGCGACAAACCCATAGGCCCCTGCCAGAGCCCACCGCATCAAGGAAGATCCAGGCAAGGGCACAAAGGACCGGGCCCCGAGGACCCCCCCACCCCAAGAGGACCCGAGCAGTGACCGGGCCAAGCCGACAAACGCCCAGCCTCAGACAGAGACTGATTATATTCTTAAAGTTTTACTAAAATAAATCCAATGGCCCTCATGCAAGAACCGTTCGTATGAACAGATACTGAATGTTCTTAAGTTGTGCGTATGAGTGATTTAGGAGAATTTATGGGATTCACCAATTTTCTCGTATTGTAAGATTTTTTTCAGATACGAACAAAATTCATGAGTGGTTCAGACCTGTTGTACATTTTACGAGCAATCAGTCTGTTGTTTTCCAGATAGATTTTTATCATTAATAACTTTATATTTCATTAGTTTGAAGATATTTTGAGTTGAAAATAAATCACACTCCATAATTATGTTAAAATATGTTATTTTGTTTGAATTGGAATTCCAGACACCCCCTCTTTGGATGGAGCCCCATCCTCAAATATGGGGTGTATCGTCAAACCGTTGGCTGGCGCAGTGTAGGTCTGACTCATCTACAGTCCTGCCAAATTTCATGTTGATTAGTGGAGCCATTTTTGTGCTACGGTTGACCAAAAGTCACTGAAAAAAAAAACTGTATGAAAACAATATGTCTCCCGCTTATGCTTCGCGTGTGGGGGTCATAATAAATATTATATTCCTTACTTCAAAGACTAAACCATCTTTCAAAACAGAGTTGTGTAATATTTAAATCAGATAGTTTATTACATTTAATATGGACACGGAAACTGAGAAAATATAGGGTTTTTGATAAATGCTGCCAAACATGATACTATAAATATCTAAAAATGTTTTTAAAAAACCTAACCTGGGGCTCACCATACTCATCTCCCTCTCTTGCACATATTCTCCTTTACAAATCTGACCTGACACCAGCAGGAGGCTAACAGCAATGCTACTAAGCACAAACTGTCATCTGAGCAGTGTTGGATAATCAGTGACAACTAACAAGAGAAGACATCACATTATCCGGCATGGTAGCGTGAAAGCACAGCGAGGTGCTGCTGTTGACTGTGCTGGTGTAACTACAGGTGTAGGATTCATTCATGCTTAAAGAGCCTGACACCCATAGGCGAGCAGCTGGCGGTGTACTCGAACAACACCTGACAGCCAGTTAATGTCAGTATGCAGCCTTTTCCAGAAAAGGCACGAGACACAGAGGCAGTTCAGTTCAGGGAGAGGTAACAGAAGGTTGAAGCTGCTGACATTTAGATGTATTTTTCCTTTTAGTTGCTTTTGAATAGAAATTTCTCTATTATGTTATTGCATTTTTTCCTTCACTCATTGTTTTTTGTTCTGCTTTTGTAGTTTTACTTGTTTGGCTTAGTTTTGTCTTTACATTTCTGCTTCTTTTTGTGTTTCTGCTTCTTTTCTGTCATTTTTGTTAGCTTAGATCCTTTTCTCCCTTGTCAGTATTACAAGTTATCCAAGGGCACTACGTAAGTAGATTTAATAACATGTAATCTAATTTATTCTAAATAAAATGTAATCAAATAAAATATTGCATAATGTACAAAGTCAATTATACATATACTTTTATGGACATACAAAAATGCTTATGACTGAAAAACATTTCAGCATAAGAGCTTCAGATTTATTAATTTTGTTGTTGTTTAGCTCTGATGAAGGGCTATCATTTCTTGACATCATTGTGTGTTTCTATGCAACTGCCACCTAGCAGTAGGCAAAAGAGTCAAACATACATGACTGAAAATTGTTATTTCAAGCCTGAACACCCATGGACATGACCAGATCTTGATTCAATTTGGCATGGATGCTGTCCTATCTGACCTATACTGACAAGAGTCCAACAGCCTCTTACGAATGTTTGTTAACTCCACCTAAAACATCCTTCATCCAAAATGGCTTCTACTCTAAGCAGTTTCAGATAAGCCTTCTTGGCCCACCCAACCCCATAATTCCATGATTCATTGCTGGTCAAAGCCGTCTGTTCAGACGGAAGTGGAGAACTGAAAAAGCTGTAAGTAGAATTTGATTTATTACTTTTTTCATTTATACAAAATAGAGTTTTAGAGAGTTTTTAGTCAGGAATGCAGCAGTGTAGAAGTATAATTGGTTTATCAATATGTTGATCAATTGAAAATCTACAACAACATTTTCAGAGATGTGCATTCCTGCCATATGAAGTTAAGACATTAACTTAGGTTCGGGAGCAGGACCACGCCTCTCACCTGCAGCAATCAGTCGTCGTCTATTTAAACTCGCCTCACCTGGCGTCTGCCCTTAGCTCGCTGTCTCGACGCGTTCGTACCGTGCAAGCGTTTTCAGAAAAGAAAAGAAAGAAAAGACAGAGTTTCTCAACTCACCATGGACGTTCTCTTCCTGGATCCCGATTCCTCCGATTCGGACGACCCCCTTTTCAGCTTCCAACCACCCAGCAAAGTTCCCCCGCCTTCTGTCATCAGGCAGATCCCTCGCCGGCGTGCCCGTTCACAGCCCTACCCACCGCACCCATCCTCCTCCCAACCCACATCAACTCCAGTGCCTCCAACCTCTGCCGCTCCAGTCGGCCTCTTCATCCCGCTTCTCCCCGACCCACTGCACCCACCCGGGCACGGCGTTCCTAATCCGCACCCACACGCCGCCTCGCTCCCGCAGGATGGACCGCAGCAGAGCTCCGTAGCGTGTTGCATGACAGAGGAATTCCTTTCAACCACTCATCCTCCAAGTCCACCCTCTTTCAGCTGCTCACCTCAACTCATCTTCAATGTTCCTCTACAGCTCAGCTATCCAAAAATCGGTACCCAGCTCCGACGATCCAGCTACAACCCGCTTACCAGACTACTTCCGCCTCCATCTTCAGCGGTGACGTCACAGCCCCAACTCCAGCCGGGT